TTAACCCTACGTTCATGTGGGATGTCTTATATGAATGTGAAGGACGAAATTAACCCCGGATGAATTTGGGATTTCCCGTCAAGGGGAAACAGTTATATCAGGGTTAAAATCTCCTGGTTTGCAGTATATTTATTTTCTATCTTACTTTATATCTGGTGTATATTTTGAATACCAAACGTATCGGTATTAATGGCTATAAATAATATAAGTTCAGTTATGTGCAAAAGCTATCGTGTTGTTACAACAAAATTATTAAATATTATTTTAATGATTCATAGGATTTCAATTTCCCTGTTTATGTAGAAAAAAGTACAGTTTGCTTTAAACGAAAACTGCTTCTGCTGTGTGTACGATGGCGAATTATTATAGGATGGTGCTGTAGTGTATCAAAACAAACCAATATTAGAACTGTTCCCTTTTATTTAGTTAAAAACGGAAGAGAAAGAGTTTAAAGAAATGCATTTATAATCAACTTTATGAGCAATGTAAAAATATCCACACATAAATACAAGAATGGATAAAATTCAAAAAACATTAATTTCATATTTGAATGAAAATGACAAAAACATGTATATAGCATAATAAGTATTATGTATTTGTCGAGAAGGCGTTTGGCAGCCAAAGACTTTCGCTTTGGAGACAAACACATTTTTGACAATAACAACATTTCTATAGAAAAATAAAATTCAGATTTATAAAACAATATAAAATAAACATTTTGAGGCTGCAATATATATATACAAATTACAAACATAAGGCAAAAACACAGACTGAAGACGATAACTGTTCATGAAGTTTGAGAATTAAACTCAATATAATGCCATTCGGTTTTAAAGCTAACTAGCTAACCATTCCCATTTCTTTCAGTTTTAGGATTCTAACTTTCCAATTTACCTGAAATAGCAGTGTTATCATAGAAAATTTGCATTGTCATCGTTCTCGATTGTTTTTTTCTCTTGAATTTTAAGAAGTTATTTAAGACAAATTTAGTCCAAATATGGAATAAACTACATTTGAACAGAAATCCTAAGACATATATTTGATTCATTTGATGGATATTATTAAACTAAATGTAAAAGTTTGAATATCTATTGAAGTTTGGTAACCCGGTATTGCATTAACTATTGTGTTGTAAGAATTGCCTGTGGAGATGTAAACATAGACTAATTTAGATCTACACTTTTGTCACAAAAAATGCTTAAAGAAGTACTCCTTTTAACATAATGTGTCGTTTTTGACAATAACAATGTCAGATGTTAAAAAGATTCTTCGAATTAAATGGAACTATCTTTTTATACGTTCAACATCAGTTGTGTTTTTACAACCCAGCAACGCATAGGTCTGCTGAATTTAACACGTGTCTTGATCGTTTGCTTGACTCCTCCCCTCAGTGCCTTTAAGATAAGTTTTCCCTTGGATCGATTCCTTCTTGGGTGTTGTTTTTCTTGTACTTCCCCTTTTATAGGAATAACTGAAAAATAACCAGCAAATGTTGAACAATCATAATGATAAATGTAAAATTCCTATTTGACTCCTACGACCTTGGATACACGTTAGAGATCGTGTTTAACACACGAACCGAGAAATAAAAATAACATTGCAATTCTTTACCAACGATTCCTATTAAAATGAAGGGTAAAAACAGAATACCATATAACTCATTTAATTTAATTTTCAAATCCACGGAATGAAAACATTGTCCAATTTGCACTATTATTAATATTATTCATAATCATTTATGCGTAAATGCATAGGGAAATACAGTCAACAGTTTCTTTTAAAAAAAAGCAGGAAATACGTACTCAAAGATCCTTCGAGGTTTCGATTTGTATTTCTGGAATAATCAACGAGAAGAGAAAGTCTGTACTTTTGATTGACGACCTCCCATTTAGGGTTCTCTCCCCCTCCGAATACAGAGTATGGTTGTGCTCGTTGGCGGACTTCGCCCTCCACCCGGAACCCTGGACTCATCCTGGTTGTGGTATCCGATGCATTGATACTTATACGAGTGATGCGTGTCCGTTGTCGTCTACCGGAACCGTGAAAGGTGTAGCCAACGCTGACAGAAAAAGCTGGAATAAAAGTCATCAAACGTTTACAATAGAAAAAGTTAATCTGTTAACTTATCTTCTTTGTAAAAAACAGAGTGAAATAAAGCTTCAATTCATCTTCATTATGTTTCCAGGGCGGATCGAGAGATTTCGAAGGCGCGGGGGAGGGGGGAGGGACTCATTTTATAGAGTAACTAAATGCTTCTTCACCTGTTTAAGATTTGTAGGTTGGCTTCAATTGTATGCTCATTTTTATATTTCGCGCTTTGCAGTCTGATTTATCTCATTTTTATTCCTTTTCTACTTTACAGCAGTTTTTTATAAGAGTTTTTTTTAAAGGAATTGAAGAATTTTTCGTTTTGATGAGACTTTGGTCAGCAAAACAGAACAAAAATAAGCAAAAAAAAAAAACGACATCGTGACGTGCTCTATCAGTCCACTGCGGCACGGAAACCAATTATATTTTTAAATCACATGGCGAAGACTTTAAGAGATTCTCCCTGTCATTCTTAAATTAAAGGAAATAATGCGCAATTTTCTTTCTTTGTACAAATATATATTTCTGTATCAAGTCTACATTGTGACGTCATGTTTTAACATAAATATCTCTGACGTCATTCAATGTCTTAACTGTAATAATTAATGATAATTCACACGCAAAGATATGCTATGGTTGTCTTAATGAAAACTCGCTAATCGTCAATGTTTACAACTATGGTAAAATACCGGAATTTTAGTACATTCTGCCGTACGAGTGAATTACGGTTATGACTTACTCAACACAAAATAACCGTTTTCTGTAATTGTTTAGTAAGATTCGGAACTAATCATGATTTGTATTAACTGTGAATGTAAATGTAATCTAGTTTCCACTTATTCTGTCATTGCTTCATCGACTTTGAATGAATTGACAAATAACTCTTTGCGTGAAAAATATCAGTTTTAATAAATTGATATAGTTCAATATCTCACTTCATTAAATGGAATTACTTATTTGTATTTATGTTACGTTGAATAAAAATGGACAAACAATATTTAGTGTGGATAGTATGATTGCACAGATATTCATCTTTCGAAATAATATAATCGGACAAACACGCAAGAAAAAAAAATTAAACTCTTACCGGTAGCTGGGTCCCTCGCTAAGTTGTACATGGTCGAATCATCTACAGATTGGATTCTCGGATTCCTGAAGCACAGGGGCAAGTCGACACCCTTGACAACAAGTAGAGTGTAATCTGGAAACGAATTCGAACTTTATTTCATTGATTGATATGATGATTTCAAATAACCAACATCTTTGTTCCACCTGTGATCAGGTTTCATTTTGTCTGGCATTTGCGTTGAATAATTATATAACATTTTTGCATTAACAAAACCAATTGTGTCCTGGTTCGAAAATTAGTATTTAAATTATCATTACACAGTTTCATGTTTCTTTGACAGTTAACCAACTGCCTTGATGCTCTTAATTATTTATATATAATATATGGAAATATATATATCCATATGAAAAGAAACAAAATCCAATGCATGGTTGTTTTTTTCACTTTTCATATACCTACCTGACAATGCGGACATAATACATTTAGTTTGTATTTATCTAACCTGTCTTACGAAAGCAGTTTCGTCACTCGACTCAGTATGGATATTATCGATGTACTCTAAATTTCTGAACCACTAGATCTTAAATTGAAGTTGAAAATAAACTTAAAATCAATTCAAAACAAATGGCTGCCATTGCATTGAAATTAAATCAACAAATTTTCCGTATTTTCCGCGTCGTATTTACATGAATTACCCAAATTGAATGAAGTCTTTAAAGAAGAGGCATATAACATAAAATATTAAACTGTTGAAATATCATATGAACAGAACTTTCTATAATCTATATCCTTCTGTATTCTAATATATGGTCCAGCTGAAGTATCGGACTGGTATTGATTTAAGATCTCTGTCCAACTGCATTTTTCATTTTGCTCATATACAGTATTCTTCCCTTTAATTCCATTTGGGTATAACTGTAGCAGAGTTTGGCAAGGACACTTTTGTTGACCAGGTAAATGGTAGCCCAATCGGTGCGAGCGGGGATAAATCAATCTGAAGTCACGTGCAATCAGTCAGACGATCTAGCCAGACGATCAGTCAGACGATCTAGCCAGACAATCAGTCAGACGATCTAGCTCCGCTGAATTGTTTTCAACACTGTTGTTGACTATATTTTATAAAATTAATTTTCATTATTTTCATAAAATTTCCGTATATGATTTTTTTCAGAAATGATTTATCAAAGTTATGTTCTTGCCGAAATAAAAGCAGTTTCCAAACCTTCTATGTATTTTTAGCAGTGGTACAGGGATCCTTAAGGTTTTGAATTATATGACAGTGTCTTTGCATGGAGTTAACTATGGTAGACAGATTCAAAATGTCCGCACTCATACAGTGACTACTTTATGTCCAATGCAGGCTACTGGTACATGTACTCTACGGAACAGTAAAACCTTACCTGATGCTTTAGTTCTTGTTCGAAGCATCTTCATTAGTTGCCTGCTGTTCGGGATCTTGGTAGTAAACTCGGCTGTAGGTGTACTGGTCTGGTGGATCGTGCCTGAGGTTGTACTGCGTTGTATTGTGCTCATGGTGGTTGGTTGGGGTGTGGGAGAAGTTTGTGAGATTGTGCCCGTGGAATTTGGTTGGGATGCTAGCATTGTAGTAGTTTGTGAGATTGTGCCCGTGGAAGTTGGTTGGAATGCTAGCATTGTAGTAGTTTGTGAGATTGTGCCCTTGGAAGTTGGTTGGGATGCTAGCATTGTAGTAGTTTGTGAGAATGCGCTCGTGGAAGTTGGTTGGGATGCTAGCGTTGTAGTAGTTTGTGAGATTTCGCTCGTGGAAGTCGGTTGGGATGCTAGCGTTGTAGTAGTTTGTGAGATTGCGCTCGTGGAAGTTAGTTGGTGTGTTAGTGGTGTAGTAGTTTGTTGGACTGTGTTCGTGTAAGTTAGGTGGGGCTTGATGGTTATCAGGTGAATTGGGTTCACCATTCTATTTTGGCTTCCTCGCAGTATCGACATTGCCAAGTGTTCTAAAAGAGATATATTGACATACCTACTTGTGGAAGGTCATTTGATAAGCTTACCGAAAAAGCTTTAAAACTTAAGATATTGTATTATATTAAAGAGAAATACAATATAAAACTGCGATATATTGTGTAATTGCGAACTTTATATTACTTTAGTGAACATAAATACAATTATTGTTTGGTTAATGTGTACACTGATCCACATCACAACAGAAAAGTCTGCTAGATTTTTGCCAAAACATTAACAAGACATGATGGTGTTGTAATAGAGCATTAGTTCAAATTTTTGAAGCATTAACAAAAATCCGAAAAGCATTTTCCAACTCGAAATTAAAGTTGGGTATTATAGACAGAAAAGGTGAGACTAGATATAATATAATTGATGTTGTTTATAGATATTTTTTCTTTAATACAAGAAATAACCTTTATACTTGCAACATAAACTTATAAAACATAAAAGAAGAATTACCAATTTTTTTATTTGTTTTGTTAGATATACATGTATTTACTTTAAAAGAAGTTATTATAGTTTGGATCGAATATATGGTGGATTCTGTCGGCAAAAAAACCGATACGTTTTAGGTTTATTTTATGAGTGAACATATCACATAGCGTGACAATCATTAAAACAAATGAAAAAAAACAAAGCACGGAATTGAATCGAGAAAAATTACACAGTAGTCTTTTGAGTGTTGTTTGATAAACTGGATTACAAGGTAGCTCTTATTAATGCTGTTATAACAACAATATAAACCTATCAGATTTTCACGGATTTGAATGTTTTTACTTTGTATTTTGTGATTTTTCTCGGTTTATCAAAAAAGCGAACTTAGATCTTCTACGAAAATATACGCCTTAAACAATAGGTTATCTATACAAATTATTTGATATTTTTATTTCATCTTACAAAAAATCGTTACTTTAATGCGATTTATTATATCCTAGAGGTCATTTCTCATTAACTTCAATGGAGATGAATCCGTAATGTATTTAATGTCTTGTCTTATTTTTAATTATTTAAGTAATAACTTGAAAGTCACTTTCGGATATTTTAGTTACAATGTATAACCACTTTATGTAAACAATGCAAATTATTCTGAGCAGTCTATAGTTCCCACATCCAAACAAATGTCGGTATCAACAATGAACAGAAAACCCTTTTTCTATAAGAGGTACATGCAAACAAAAACATCTGATGTAGAAAATATGACGAAGCGATATCATATTGATTCCAGTTTTCCAAATATTTTGAAATACTGTTGTAATTCCCATGTATTTACTTACTTGCACTAGTTTGTGATTGGTGGTGATAGGCCGCCTTAGGAGGAAGGAAATGAGCAGTATACATCCGGCTGAAGCTGTGACGCATTATATGACCTCCTGGATGATAAACCCCTGCTTGGCTTTTTCCAACAAGCAACGCCGGCAATATACCACTTTGGCGGTGCTGAGGGACATCCACAATCTCTTCAAGGCCTTAAAACATTAAATAAATTCAAAAAAATGAAATGTTTTTATCTTGTGAAGGTTTAGTTCAGCTTATCTGTGGTTAAAAAAGGGTTTGACATTATGATTATAAAAAAATATATCGGGTAAACATGTTAATCGTACTGGTAATATAAATCAATATAAACAAAATATAAACCGAATACCATCTGCTACATAATCATCAATTCCAAAGTGATTATAATACAATTATCGATCAGATTGAGCTATCGCCTTAACAAGTGCATTTAGTTTTTCAGAATATTTACATTTAACGCCTACAATACGATTGCAATTCAAAAAATCAAAATTAAATAGCTCATTCACCTTCCTTTGATTAATTATAAGTTCGTAGTGTAAAAGTATTCCACAAGGGGTGTTGGCTATCATACTTATATAATCGTTATCATCTATTTTTCAAATTTCAAAAAAGACACTCGGTTGATTAGACGAGTGAAATAAATATGGTGAGTCCCTCTCAGGGAAATATTGTATACCACAAGCGTATTAGTTATAAGTAAAAGCGAAGATATGTCTTGTTTCCTTATAGACCCAAAATCGTCAATGCACCTTCGCACGCTTTCCGATATGTATACAAGTATATGTCTAACCAGAAGAGAAACTAACTCCGCGAAAATCAGTAGACATATATGACGTCACAATATAAATTAAACCTTTCATTAATGACGTCATAACTTGAATCTGTGTGTAGCAAAGTAAAAACATTTTACAAAGTATCAAAATTTTACAAAGTATAAACATTTTATAAAGTAAAAACATTTTACGAAGTATCAACATTTTACAAAATATAAACATTTTATAAAGGAAAAACATTTACAAAGTAAAAACATTTTACAAAATAAAAACATTTTACGAAGTATCAACATTTTACCAAGTAAAAACATTTTACAAAGTATCAAAATTTTACAAAGTATAAACATTTTATAAAGTAAAAACATTTTACGAAGTATCAATATTTTACAAAATATAAACATTTTATAAAGTAAAAACATTATACGAAGTATCAACATTTTACAAAGTAAAAACATTTTACAAAGTAAAAACAATTTACAAAGTAAAAACATTTTACAAAGTATCAGCATTTTACAAAGGTATGGTTGATTGATACAAAAGCATTACTCACATATTTGAATAAAATATTTGTGTGTATTGTATTTGGTAGCTTTTCTTAACCCCGCAAACAAAGAATTATATCCTCAACGAAAACAATGTCAGCTTACCCATGTCATCTCCCTCAATTTGTACTGGAGAAACTTGAAGCTCGTCCGGGAGAGTGACAACCATTGAGGTCAAGGGCGTAACAAAATTATACTGAAAAAATATCAAAATTTCAGATGTAGCCACAGTAAATCAGTAACAATGAAATTAATTAAATGATTCACGCATTATGTAAATATTACTTATAAAAATCCATTTGATAAATGGAATGAGAAGAACTAGATTCACATTGATGAAAAATATGTTCTACAATCACATATGCCACAAAAATACAGACGATAAACTGTATAACGTTAATTGACTGTTAACACATATGGTATTTGATGTAGAAATGGAGATACGTTGACAATTGAACAGTCGTCAAAGGTGCAGTTCTGAAAAACAGGTACTACACAGGTCGATGGGTGTTATGATATTATGTATGACTTGTTATGACGTCATGATTAAAAACTGTCTTCCTGTGATGGTAATATAATAATGATAAGCTTAATCAAATTTGTGTTTATAAGGAAACGTACACAAAAGTATAAAAGATGGCCTATAATCTAACCGTTCCAATGCTCAAGCATGTATTCTGTGCTCGAAGCAGCTTCGGTTTGGTTAGGTTAAGGTTTGTTTAAGTTAAGGTTTATTTAGGTTAAGAAATATTGGAAAAGTCTGGGTAAAATATCACACTCTCCTTTGTTAACAGTTTTAGTATAGTAATTTTTACGATTTGTATATTTATTTCGGCAGGAAAACAGTTATTACATGAACATGAAACCAAAGGTTTCAAAGAATCAATACATATCTGGGGAGAAAAGACTATTTGTGCATAAATATAATGAAGGAGCCCTTAGAACTAAACACGTCGTTACCTTGAGGGCCATTGCAGTAATGTTTTCTTTCCAACTTTCTTGTTTATTTTCGTCAGTTGATGCTTCCATCTGTTTAATCCACTGTTTGATAGTGAGATAAGCCCATAGTTTCTCCGTGATGCCGAAAGCATCAGAGTCTTGTGTGATATTTAGTTGTGTGGTAAGCGCAGTATCGGGTACGTGTAGAGTTACCAATCCATTGGCACCAATACCTGTTATCATGGGCTGAAGTTCGTTCGTTTCCTCTTCTGAAATCCGTCCTGTAACGACAAGCTCTGACCCGAACATTAGAGTCGGTGTTAGGTCACATATTATTCTGATGGGTTCCCTTTCCACGGTGCCATCGAGGTAAGTAAATGTGACGTTTTGCAGAAGAACGGTAGAAACCTCGGAATAGAAATTTGATATCTGTAAGTCTGCATCTGAATCCTCGTAAATCTTTCTGCCAAAGCCATTGTTCTGTGATGCTAGTCGCTTTACCAAGCTGTAATCTGCGTTTTGTCCAAATGCCAAGGAAAACACTGGCACTCTGCCTTCATTACGCTCAAGAACCCTCGCTAATATTCTCGTCGGTGACGTTTCACCACTAGTTGGTTCCCCGTCGGTCAGAAAGATAATAACAGATGATCTGCCCCTATTAGAATGTGTCTCCACCAGCGAAATGCCAGTAAGCATTGCTTCCTGGATGTTGGTTCCTGTGAAATCAGCAAACATGACTTTGTTTATGTTTTAACAGAAAATTTATCAAACATTTGTTGGTCTTAAGTTTCACTGTTATGTGCTCTCTATAGATGTAAAGAGGTAGATAAGGATCGGTCGATGGTTACAACAACTTTGATGAATATGCTAATCAACCATCACAAATTAAGGATTTTTTCTACCAGCGGGTTTTTATTATGTTAGTAATTCAATACATTTTTCATGATTTGCAAAGTTTAGTGACTTATTTGTAAATCAATTGGAACCGCTTTCGTAAAGTATGCCGTGCTTATTACTTGGGTAAAGTAAGATACAAAATAACATGTCGTGGACGAAATACAAAGTTTCACAGCTAGCGATTGTTGCATATATATCCATGAAACGGAAAAAGGTTAATTTTCAAATTAAATTTGAAAATAATGTGTTTTGACATACATGATAAACAACAGTCACGATGTATGTAAACTTACCGCCACTTGCAGGCATGTCATTAACATAATGTTTTGCCGCATTGATATTGGCTTCAGATGCTGGAACAAGCTGCTGTTCATTTTTCCAATAAGTTATTCTACTGTCAAATGTTATGATGTTAAAGTTATCTGCAGGTTCGAGTTGTGACAGAATGGTGCGCATAGCCTTTCTGAGTTGTCGAATTTTTGTGCCAGACATAGATCCACTCTTGTCAAGTATGAATACGGCGTTCTTTGGTCTAGGTTCAAGACCAGTGGGAGCGAAAAAGTGCACAAAGTAGCCATTCACCAACAACAAAATATTAATTTGTCCAAAGTCAATATAGATGAATCATACGGTATCAGTATATAATATTCATAAATAATACATCATTTTACCTGTTCAATGAACATTTAAGATTTGTTACAATGAACATATGGTTGATATTTCTCTATAAAAACATTTCTTGTTTTCACACTTAACTGAACCAATCAGAGAAGAGGCTTTTTGTAACTGAAAAGCAGGCATTATTTATTGTGACGTCATGGACATTTTTATTATGCTGTCACAAGACAGCATATTTTGTCTTTTTATACTTTAGCGGGAGATGAACATTATGTTCTAGAAAACCATTTTTTTTAAAAATATAATTAAAACGTAATAAAATGAAGTCTTGTTTGCTGTATCAATAACAGTTATAGTTCACGCATGCTTTGAATATTATTCACTTTGCACTCATAAATGCTACTTAAACATTCACCTCACATTGTTTTAAATAGAACTGCTTCGGACAGATATTTATCTATATTTTTACATTCGGTTGTCATATGGTCGAAGGATATGCGTTAACATAAACGTATTATATAAGTAATAACTTGTATTCTGTTAAGTATTTTGTGATAGTACGTTGTTTTGAGTGGCTATACTGGCGTTTAGAACATGCAAAGTGGTTTGAACTCGAGACCGATAGGTCGAGAGTTTAAACCAAATTTCATGTTCTAATCCCCAGTGTAGACACGCAAAACAACGTTCAATCCCCATTCTAACACACCTAAACAAATATACTACGCTAAACTGTTTAGAAACATTGTATTTCCCTGTACAAAAGTACGTAGTTAAGTACCNAAACAACGTTCAATCCCCATTCTAACACACCTAAACAAATATACTACGCTAAACTGTTTAGAAACATTGTATTTCCCTGTCCAAAAGTACGTAGTTAAGTACCCTGTGGCCTGAATTGGCGATGTGACATTCTGCAGCGGACTGATCAATTGGAAAGAAGCTTTCAAAAGTCGGTCATCTGGCCCCGCCCTTACTGGCGAGTGCTCGATCTGTATGTTGACGAGGCGGCATATTGGTGAATATATTGACAAAATCGGTGATTATTTGTTTAGATTTGTGAAGAGTTTTGTGTAAATGCATACGACACATGTGAAATGTTTCATTTGATTTCGGATCTAACTAGATGCCTTCACACTGATGGAACAAACGTTTCGGTAATAAATGGAGGTAAGAACAATGAATGTTTACTTTTTATTTTTTAATGCTTTTATCAAATGCATTTCATCGGTCGTTTCTGTTCTGTTGCCTGCTAGCCTTATCAGCGGGATTTCGCTAAGAGGCGAGCGTGACGCCATATTGTTAAGGTTAGAAACGGGGCGTGACTTATGTGCGATTGATTCTATCGCAGATTAGAACATGGGCCGTATCCAATCAAAACACGCGTTGCAAACGAATCGTGTTAGAATGAAGTATTGATTCATGGTGACTGTTTATATCTGTGTTATAATTTATGATAAGTAATTGTTTATATTTCAGTTAAGATAAAGGGGTGGAATGCCTAGAACATTTGACAAATTCCTGTGTCTGCATTGCAACTATACTTTGCTTATATATGAAATTATTACTTTTTCTTGGGTTATTGAAGCGCGAGCTATGTATATATGTATATGTTCTTTCGTTAGACTCAAAATTTAGACGTTTATTACACTTTTTTTATTTAGCCTTAAACCTGATGTTTTTTACCAGCACGTAAGGAACACTCGTAAAATGACAGACACACTGGAAATGAATCTTATATAATAAACAACTTGTGCACTGTAATGGAAACGAGTATGCAAACCATGATACGTCGTTCAAATTACCGTCTCGCATATATTAAACGTACACAAGACTTCTCAATAAGTACCTTTAGAAAACAATATATTTGATTCAACTGATATATAACATACATGTATATTCTTGCAGAGTAACAGTATTGGATGTGAGAAATGAAGGTCGTTTGAAACTCACCAACATGTCACCACCGTCATTTTGTCTTGCTACGTCATACGTCACCCTAAACTGACCATCCAGTCCCTCCGAATCACCTTCGGCAATCTGCTGTTCCAAGGAGGGTTGATATCTGATGTGAACGCGTTTGTCTGATATGTGGTCAATTATGGCGACTTCATTTGTATCTTAAAAATATTTAAAATTGCTTGCATATCATTTTATAAACGTAAAACATGCATATAGTTTTATGATGTACTGCTTTCATAGACTGTTTGTAAACACTGTGCCGCTATAGAGTTCATACATGATGTGCCTACATATAACGACTATCAAACAAAGTGTCGACATGGAGTGTTTATAAGCACCGTGCCTGAATGGATATTGATCTGATAAACGCAATGCCTACATAATGTGTATTCCGTCTTTGCGTATTGCAGAGTCATCTTCTCTTGGGAGCAGGGATTGATTGTTACGACACTTGTTTGTGAGAGTAACGTCATCAATTTTTGAGAAAACGACGTAATTTTCTCGCACAAACCAATGACGTAACAATCAATACCTGCTTCCAAGAGAAGATAACTCTGCAATAAGCAAAGACGGAATAAGCGTTGTGCTTGCATAGTATTAATAAACGTTATGTCCACATATAGTTTATATTAAACATAGGGCCAACATTGGGTGATTATATAAGTTATTCCTAAATAGATTGATAGAATTTGTGCCTAATTGTGCTTATACACGAACACAGTGTTTACTAATATGATGCATGCATATTACTTTTATAAACCTACGTCCTAACTAGCAAACGAAGTTTTGCTAATAAGCTGACTAGTATAGAAATAACTGATACTACCTCTTAAAGCGTACTAAATGTTTTTAGCTAAAGATCGAACTTTAACAGATTAAGGCAAGGATAAATTGAAACACTTACTTAAAGTTTCAATATGTGCAGTAATAATTTAGCGCAACTTCTAAAGCACAAAATACTCTTAAATAATATCACTGCTAAAACATGAAAATATTAACGTATACAGGAAACATTTATTACCTGCAGGAAAAAGGAAGGGTATCTGAATTTAATATGAAAGTTTTACTTTCTACACAAATAATGTACGTATTAAACTTGTCGCAACGTTTCAAGTAATGAAGCATTACAATGCTATCATGGGATGTATATCACATCTTATAAAAGTGTAACAGGGATATAATTAATGTATTTGCTTGTATGTATGTTTGTTTACTAAGTCCGTCCGTAGCGCGTCGACTGTCCATGTATATATTTCATACTCCGAGTAATGTAACTATCGCGTCCGCGTGTTGTATTCTATACTGTGATGTCATGTCTATAGGTGTATTGTGGTATTCTGCTCGTTACGTATGTTGATATGTTGGTATACCATACAGTTGTTCATTGGTCAGTAGTGTTACGTCAAGTTGTGTATGCGTTTTCATTGGTTCGTTCTGGGTGGTCAGTTTTGGCGCGTGTTTCTTTGTGGGCAAATAAATCACGCTAGTACCTTTTGAGGACTCGTAGTTGACGGACGGAGAGATGTAATGTAAGTGTTTCTTTGTCTTTGTGTAATACCCAACGTATATGTATTATGTGTTTTATTTGAGATATAATTCTATTTGGATCTAATCTAAGTATAGATGATTTGTTATTCCTTTAATAAGAAATCAGATATGATTAATGTATTTTTTTATATGAAAACGTAATAATGGAGGTGATGTAATTTGATTTTTTGTAAGAGGCGTTATTACGTTGTGCCCATTTGACTAAGGTTCGATAAATTTATTTAGATGTCTTTTATTTTAATTACAGTATATCCGTATTGCATACGATTGAAGAAGGCGTCGTAATTATACAAATAGATAGTAGCCAAGGCCTTGTGCCACACTCAGGTATGCTATTGTGTTTTTTATGTAAGAGTATATATATAGTATTGATTTGAGAAGGTATAGGTCGCTAGACTGCTAACTGTGAATTTAATATATTGTCCAGTAACTTTGTTTTGAGTCAAATCTTCAGTTTGATTGTATTTCATAAAAGTTGTAATTGTAATGTGTATTGCCTTATAGTTGATTTGTAAGGGTAAACGTTATGAAATCGTGTAAGAGTTATTTCCCTTGAATTTGTACTATTAAATATGATTATGTGTGTCTATTTTATATATATATATGACTGTAGCTTGTACTTTGTACTTGTTGCAGGGTTCTTTTGGTTTTTACAACGAGCAATAAAATGACAGTGAACAAAACCCAGAGGAGTTGTTCTATATCTCACAACAAAACCACCTCTACTACATGTGTGTTAGTATCTCCTCAGTTCCTGTTGTGTGTGTTAGTGTCCCCTCAGTTCCTGGTGTAAGTGTCCCTTCAGTTCCTGTTGTTTGTGTCCCTTCAGTTCCTGTTGTTTGCGTTGGTGTCCCCTACATTCCTGTTGTTTGTGTTAGTGTCCCCTCAGTTCCTGTTGTCTGTGTATCCTCAGTTCCTGTTGTTTGAGTTGGTGTCTCCTCAGTTCCTGTTGTTTGTGTTGGTGTCTCCTCAGTTCCTGTTGTGTGTGTTAGTATCTCCTCATTCCTGTTGTGTGTGTTAGTATCTCCTCAGTTCCTGTCGTGTGTGCTAGTGTCCCCTCAGTTCCTGGTGTAAGTGTCCCTTCAGTTCCTGTTGTTTGTGTTGGTGTCCCTTACGAGTTCGGCAGCAAGCTCCGCCCACCTCGCGCGTCACTGCCGAGTTCGGTAACAAGCTCCGCCCACCTCTCGCCTGATTGGCTCGGCGGAAACACCCGAGTGTAGGTGTGTTTTAGTTCACAGACTAACACAGAGGACTAAAACACACTCAGGCAAAAGTGGGGATATATTCGATTTAACCAATTACTTTTATATACAGTAAATAAAGTAGAGGTGTAATAATGTCCCCTCAGTTCCTGGTGTTAGTGTCCCCTCAGTTCTTGTTTTTTTGTGTTGGTGTGTCCCCACAGTTCCTGTTGTTTGTGTCGGTGTCCTATTGTTTGTGTTAGTGTCCCCTCAGTTCCTGTTGTCTGTGTATCCTCAGTTCCTGTTGTTTGAGTTGGTGTCTCCTCAGTTCCTGTTGTGTGTGTTGGTGTCTCCTCAGTTCCTGTTGTGTGTGTTAGTATCCCCTCATTCCTGTTGTGTGTGTAACAGGGATATAATTAATGTATTTGCTTGTATGTATGTTTGTTTACTAAGTCCGTCCGTAGCGCGTCGACTGTCCATGTATATATTTCATACTCCGAGTAATGTAACTACCGCGTCCGCGTGTTGTATTCTATACTGTGATGTTATGTCTATAGGTGTATTATGGTATTCTGCTCGTTACGTATGTTGATATGTTGGTATACCATACAGTTGTTCATTGGTCAGTAGTGTTACGTCAAGTTGTGTATGCGTTTTCATTGGTTCGTTCTGGGTGGTCAGTTTTGGCGCGTGTTTCTTTGTGGGCAAATAAATCACGCTAGTACCTTTTGAGGACTCGTAGTTGACGGACGGAGAGATGTAATGTAAGTGTTTCTTTGTCTTTGTGTAATACCCAACGTATATGTATTATGTGTTTTATTTGAGATATAATTCTATTTGGATCTAATCTAAGTATAGATGATTTGTTATTCCTTTAATAAGAAATCAGATATGATTAATGTATTTTTTTATATGAAAACGTAATAATGGAGGTGATGTAATTTGATTTTTTGTAAGAGGCGTTATTACGTTGTGCCCATTTGACTAAGGTTCGATAAATTTATTTAGATGTCTTTTATTTTAATTACAGTATATCCGTATTGCATACGATTGAAGAAGGCGTCGTAATTATACAAATAGATAGTAGCCAAGGCCTTGTGCCACACTCAGGTATGCTATTGTGTTTTTTATGTAAGAGTATATATATAGTATTGATTTGAGAAGGTATAGGTCGCTAGACTGCTAACTGTGAATTTAATATATTGTCCAGTAACTTTGTTTTGAGTCAAATCTTCAGTTTGATTGTATTTCATAAAAGTTGTAATTGTAATGTGTATTGCCTTATAGTTGATTTGTAAGGGTAAAAGTTATGAAATCGTGTAAGAGTTATTTCCCTTGCATTTGTACTATTAAATATGATTATGTGTGTCTATTTTATATATATATATGACTGTAGCTTGTACTTTGTACTTGTTGCAGGGTTCTTTTGGTTTTTACAACGAGCAATAAAATGACAGTGAACAAAACCCAGAGGAGTTGTTCTATGTCTCACAACAAAACCACCTCTACTACAAAAGTATTGAAATATTATGTATATATATACCTGTAATGTCAACGTCGGTGAGGATATCATTTCTGATTGGCGGGACTTTGAGGTTAGTTATCGCTCTGGACTCAAATATATCTACATCTACGCGCAGATCCTGAACGGGTTCCCCGGGCTGTACGTAGATCACTTGATTGTAGGAACCCAACTTCCGTTGTAGCAATTCCTGGTAACGTAGCTCGAACGTTAACTTTTGTTCGGCAGCAACGTTGACGTCAATGTTAAACATATTTGTCTCCCTTGGCCTGTGGTAGATAAAATAAAGTATCAAATCATATCGTGTAATGCAGTATTTTATATGCAACACATATACTTATTTAGCACTCGTTTGTCTCGTTAGATTTACATATATTTGACCGTGTTTGTTAGATATGAGGGACACATTATTTCATGATGATGCTTAAAAAGACAAGTTAGCGAATTAAAACAATCTAGCTGTTTAAAATCTAGTTGAAGTATCCAATGAATGGAATTATTTAACCTCATTTATGTATATAGTTTGAATAAAGGTTGGTCTGATTTCAAATCTTTTATCACATGACGAGGAAATAACACATCGTGTTTCTCTCACGCGCACGAGTTTTCCTGGTCTTATTTCGAGTATTCAGAACGTCTCAAGAAAAGTTAACAATAGGTACCACATCATTCGGAACTCCTCACCCCGATTTCAGTTCCTACCATCCACAGAATCGGCCGATGTGTTCCGAATGGTACTACACGTAAGACCCGAGTGGCTGAAGCAGACGACCATAATGGCTTGGAAGCCTAATCATGTTAAAAGGAATGTCGCATACCGTACCTCACAAATATATTTGCCGCTGTCCTTACCTCACAAATGTAATTGCCGCTGTCCTTATCTAAAATACATAAATATGCAGCTGTCCTTACCTCACAGATGTGTGAGCCGCTGTCCTTAGATATACCTCACAGATATTATTGCCATTGTCCTTACCTCACAGATATAAGTGCCGTTGTCCTTACCTCACAGATGTGTGAGCCGCTATCCTTACCTCACAGATATAAGTGCCGCCGTCCTTACCTCAAAGATATATGTGCCGCTGTCCTGCCCTGGGACACAGCTGTTTCGTACTCCTGTCTGGCCTCCTCCTTTCTTTTGACGTCACCAATAAAGGTATTGTTCCCAACAGTTCTAAACAAATACATACATAATACATTTTTTAGGAAGTTTTTTTAAACGATCAGATATATTATAGAAATAGAGGAGGTGATTTCCTATTTTTCTGTATAGTATAAGATAAGATTTAAAGTTTTACTTGAAGTAAGATACAATATCATGGGAGTGCTAATGAGATACGTTATTATTGAAAGTGAAATGTGAACTTAGGTAAGGTATTGTTTTGAAGAAAAAATATAAAGTAATATAAGATACTATCAATGGTGTTATTTGCAGTAATATAATATACTTTTAGAGCGATGTGTCTATTATGAAAAAAATGTAGAATGTTCTGTGAAGTTAGATAAAGTATGTTTTAAGTAGGATGGGGTACAGTACATTGCATGTAGTGTTTACCAATAAACACATATTTGAACCATTTTTTCACATTTTAAATAAGTAACAATTCTATTTATGTATATTGTCATGATAAATTGCATTTATTATATGATATATAGCTTTTATTATTATTATTTATTTATTTTAAGTTATAAATTTCTTGAAATGCTCGTCCTGAAAATTGGAATTAGTTATATTGGTTCTTCATTTCAATTTATATATTTTTTGAAAGACGTCTATTATATAAATTATTAATAATTTCAATATAGTTTTGCTATATATATAATTGAAATCAATTTTGTAGATGAATCAGTGGTGTTCCATTTATATATATGAAAAAAACATTCAAATTAACATCAAACATTCACCTTAATGTTTAAAGACTGTTTCATAAATGAGACGAGCCTTGGTGTGCACACTTTGTCTGTACTTACAGGGTGAAGTTAGTGATAAAAGCCTCATTCGGAAGGGTGACTTTAAAGGTTGTCTGATGTGCCTCAACATCACGATTAGCTATCTTGCTTGTGACAATAGTCGTAGCAAATCTGAACCTGATATCGGACTTGATGTGTAGATAATAGATCGTCGGCTTCACACTGAGGTCGCTGGGATGCGTCCCGGATCTCACCTGAAATATACGGGAAAACAATGCGAAACTAAATAATGTGGAGTTAATTACCCTTAAACCTAATTTACTTACTGACCTTTTTTACAATTATGAACGACTTTAACGTCAGTTCAGGTTCTGTGTTCTATGAATACGTGAGAACATTTTTAACTGATTTCGCAGTATATACGTTGAGATGGTGGTGTTATTACCTAACCTCACCTGTCGAATCATGACAAACTCTCCAAATACACATCATTTTACCTTGCATAAATAAAGACAATACCAATCTCAATTGAAACATATTTCCATAATATTTACAATGATCGTCACAACAGAGGTAGCAACATCGCAATAGATGTCAAATAACTGATGCATAATAGAAAGGACCAATGCCTCCGCGTGCAATAATCTTAGATGTGCAAAACATTTAATCGATCTTATTTATATATTACAAACAATAGATAAATACATATACAAAATTTGATAAAGCGCCCTATCTAGCTAAGAATAAGCCACTCTAAAGTGCTTTCCAATACATAGAGATACAATTCATTATTATTGAAAATCTTTAGTGAACAGTGAAACCTTGATAAGATGTCTTTCGAGGTGCGCATGCAACATAACTGCTCCAAACATCAGGTTAGTACCACAATAATGATTTTGTATTCATTTGCAATTTATGAGTTATAGATACACAAACCAATTCGAAAGTTGATGAAACGGTGATGTTTTAATGAATTTAAGATATCGACTCATGTTTTCAATGATACATATTAAACATAAGTTTTGTTACACGCATTCAGCTGTAAGAGACGTTAAGAAAGGTATTCCTATAATGTGTAAGCCGCTGAATAAAGCTAAAGTGAACATTTGTTTCTGAAAAAATGGCCTTTTCGTCCATTAAGAATTCATAAGTTGTTCTAAGGGTAAAAAAATGTCATCTAAAGACTGAAGACGACATATATGTTGCAGCTACCACAAAAATAGAGTTCCTTTGAAACCCTTTATAACGTTACAAATTTACAATGTTTGGCTACGTAATTGCTAAAAAATAAAAAAAATGAATCAGTCTGAAATATAACCAAATATGTATGATAAACAAGATGTTCGCAATAGCTTGTAATACAACTAACATTTTATTGAATGAAAGAAAATTAAATGGCTAATACGAAAGCATTTCTTCTACTATAAGATTCTTCAATTTCATATCACTGTGTCAGATATTTGCAAATTATTCCAGATCCTTTACCGTTTGCTCAATTACATGTATATAGGATTTTGATATGATTTATACATATGTATTGTTTCAGTGATTGATAATTTTTGTCTCAGAAATCCTACATTTCAAATTAACTTTCAATAAAACGTATGCACGAGTAAAATCTATCTTTTCACCGCAAATAGACCCGTTATTAGTAAAAACTGTAATATGAGGCTACATTATGTTCGAATAATTAATTGATCATCACCTTAATAAAAACTTACTGGCGGCTCCAGTATCATTGCGCCCACCACCGCAACCGCCACCGCAAGGCATGCTTGAATAAACCACAGCGTTTGCATACTAGTTTCTTTCTGCTGGCGATTGATGAGCGTCAAACATTTATACCCTTCAAGCTGCGGTGTTTTGAAATACAAGTTCACTAATTAGCATCATGTGGAAAACCCGAGGAAATCCCAGACAGATTCTATGCGTAAACAAGACCAGTGACCTTGACACGTAATTCAGCTTCAGTATCAAGCGGTGAACGGTGAGTCGACGGGAAAACCCACATCGGCTTAATGCCTCCCATCTGTTTCTCGCGTCTCCACTTGACCTTCGACCTCTGACTTACAAAGTCTTTCATTGTTAACTTAAAGGGTTAAGTACGTTCACAGATTAGAGTTATTTTGTTCATAACAATTTTTGTTTGTTTGAAACACTTTCATTTATAAAGGGAAAGAACAAATGGAATGCTTATTATTTTACAATAACTTAAGTTATTACCGTTTTGTAGAGGATCAGCGTATTTAGGATTGTGCACGCTGCGACCTCCGACATTGACTTTTAAAAAATACTGACATTTTAGCTATTCATATATGATATTATTACTACTATATAATGCATGTTGGTCAATGAAGCAATAAGTAAATATACTAAATAATGTTTCAAAATAAAAGCAGGACACACAGAACTGTACTAAATAATGTTACAAAACGGCACAACATACAGACAATACTAAATAATATCATAAACACATACAGATTGTACTAAATAATATCATAAACACATACAGATTGTACTAAATAATATTAAAAACACATACAGACTGTACTAAATAATATCATAAACACATGCAGATTGTACTAAATAATATTAAAAACACATACAGACTGTACTAAATAATGTTACAAAACGGCAAAACATACAGACAATGCTAAATAATATCATAAACACATACAGATTGTACTAAAAATATTAAAAACACATGCAGACTGTACTTAATAATATTAAAACACATACAGATTGTACTAAAAAAATATTAAAAACACATACAGATTGTAATAAATAATATTAAAAACACATACAGACAATGCTAAATAACATCATAAACACAAACAGATTGTACTAAATAATATCAAAAACACATACAGGCTGTACTAATTAATATTAAAAACACAAAAATAAAGCACTGCACACAGACAATTTTGCTATAATAATCCACACTAAAAGTAACCAAAAACATTTAATTTTGAAAATACTCTTTATATAGGTATCAATGAACGTGAAATAGTGGTACAAAGTTCATAAAGCATTGAGCATGATCACATAACGATCAAAATAGACGGCAATGCCGACAGTTAAAATCAGTAAGATATGTAGAAATACCTCTACTAAAAACAAGAAAAATCGACAACTTATTTCGTCAACTACTTAAAATCAAAAATTTCTCTAGTTAGCCCTATTACTAAATTAATTCACCAGAAATAGAGTGAAGAGCGCTAACATAAGAATACCGTTGCTACTAACACAATTTAAGTGCAGCAATGGGAATATGTTTTCAAAAATAGATAAAACCCGGATGGACTGTTTGCTCACCATGATAAAATGCACGATTCAACAGTACCAAACAACCGAGACGTCGTATTACTTCACCGACAAATTGGACATGATACTTTCTCGTTAGATCATTGGCTGGTAAGTGAAATCCGGGAATTTATAAAAAAAATATATGGAGAATTCATAATAAACAGAAATGTTTACATATAATGTGTATTTGTTGGTATGGAATGTGGTGGTGTAATGTTTGAGTGGCCTCCTACGCGAGTACACTAGCTGTAAGGATGCTGACCATAGGCCCCATGGCGGTTAAGGAAAATAAAGATTTATTGATAAGAAGACAAAATCAGACACGATTTTAATGATGGAATCTATATTTACGATCCTGGTTTAACATTTATCTCCTATATGTTCCGCTCAGCAATATCTGATTTCACAATACGGCAATCATAATAAACGTTGATAAGAAGCGATGTTGTTGTTTTGGGGAGATTAAAAACAGAAAATCGGTGAATCTGTTACTTTTATTATGTGTTTAAAAGTGTCTTACAAGCCGGTTAATATTGGCATGAACTTCAACCGGATGGAAACACAGCTGTTAGGATACTTTTAACTGGTACTTAGTGCATAGACCCGCATAGATAGGACATAAACAAATCTGTTTACTAGCCAGTGAAAGCCCTCTATGACTCAAAGTCCAATTTGCTACACACGGATGTAAGATTCAACTTGGTGTATATTTCTATATTCAGTTTTTCCAGCATTATACTTTAAAGACTTCATTTGCAACATGTTTTAGATTTTATAAGATGTTTTGGAACATGAGCCCATTAATGATGAAAACATAAGATAACTGCTAATTTCGCTGTGGGTGCATTGAATGTGGGTAAAATAGCAGGACTTTCCAGAATGCGTCACGAAGGCTACATAATATCCAAGCCCTGTAGTGCAAACCTTAAATCAAAAAGTTAAGGATAAAATGATGAAAGGTAAACATTGTTTGTACAAAGTGATTGCCTACAAACCTATTGATATGTAAAATAAACAAAAAATAAACAAATTGCAATGATGTTCATAAATGTGTCAGATGTTGCGGTCAGAATGTTTAATACACATGCCAATGCAGGTTACCGTATGGTTTTGTTTACACTTATAGAATCCCTAACCCTATAACGGTATGGTCAGTTATATAGTCATGAGCACCACATGTCTATGTACGTTGCGGTACATTATATACTGTAAATGAAGGATTGGATAACCAGGCTGTAGTTATGATGGATAACTGTTAGAGAAAATGGTGCCACTCTTAGGCTGCACTAGATTTAATCACGAAGAAATTCGAGTTCTACATCAGATCTTAATTCGACTTTGGGTGTATCTCCCCTTCAACGATGATGAAGCAACAAACAGGAGTTTTTATTGTTAGAAGTCTTTTCTCGTTTTTGTTTTACTAATAAATTTCATTTTTGAATACTCACGTTTCAAGTAAACAAGTAATAGTTATCTAAATCACACGATAATTGATTATTTATATGAAATATTCATGTGTAAATTAAATAAAAGCTTGCTAGACAATAGTGGTTATTGCAAAGAAAAATTCGAACTCAATGATACTTTTAATGCTATATTGAGAAATTGTCAGTGTAATTTCTAACACATAAGCCGTAAACACATCGTTTACGATAACTATATGAACATAGATGTCATAACGATTAATGGTTTTAGATAGAGTTTGTTAATTTGATGTACAATGTAGATGCTACAATAGACGTATGCACACAACAACAAGGAAGTAGAAACTTGTTTAATAATGCTTGCATAAATTCAGGAATTGTACAACGTATTTTCAATTATACATTTGTTTTGCTATTTTTTCCCCATTTAAAGCTATATGGAACGAACTTTTTTAATAATACTGTACCACATTTTCTGAAATAAATCCCACCTTTTCTCTCATAGCAACTCAACGTCAAATAGAGTATTGAAACCATCCACAAACACGTAAAACTGCTTTTAATTCTACATGATTAACGATTTTCATAAAAACTTTGACGTGCATAAATATGAAACGATATCCCAATTTAAAGCCAATAAACATTTCTGATATTAAGGACTATTACGCAATACAAATAGGGAATTGTTGTAGAACTATATCAAATGTCAACATTAGGGATTAGCTCAAAATTATAAGTTAAATGTACTAAAATTACCGAAACAAGCAATGCGAACAAAATACATTTCTACTCTATTTTAAGACTAACTAAACAAGTACATGTGTATAGCCAATCCCGTATTTCGTAGTTTATTGAGCATGTTGGATTTTCCCATGTTTTCGGGTTCAATTGCCTGTTTGGAGGTTTAAACTGTTTCATGTATCCCTCATGATGTTTTAAGCCATTGTGTTCTACGTGAAGACTTACACTTTTATATATTACATCAACATTACATGAGTTCATAATAAAGCAGGGACGCGTAGTCGAAAAAACATTAATAAGTGTGAAACTTAATGAATTAATTTTAAAAAATGAACTTTTACTACTGCTTTGCTGTAAGCATTTTGCTTTGCTGTAAGCATTCTTGAGCATTTATCCCCTGTTTAATCGATTGATGATTAGATTATGTTTTGAAAATGCACCACGATGCAATCTGTGGTCAGTTATTTAAGTCCTACCGTTCATGACATCGTATATGTTTAAATACATCTCAATTGTTATAAAGCGCTGTGCTACACATGACATGAGTAAAAGTATTCCTGTTGGACACATGCATGCAGTGAGTGAGACTATCTGATTCTGGTTAGCAGTAACTACGTGTGTTGAAACGAAGATTCCATCTGCATTCTTTAGCTGGATTACCTCTCCTTAGTATGACACTTTTTGCCTGGTTAAATCTGGAAAATGAGTGTAGAAAGGTCATGCCAATAAAACATTATTTTGATGGTTTTGATTCACTCCAGTTATTAGGAGGCGACTGTTTGATCAAGAACAAAATAGAAAACGGAGAGAACGATAAATGTTCTAAGATAATAAAATATAGCAAAAAACTCTACTTTAAGATAATTTAATGAAAATTAATAAAAAAATAAAAATCTGGAATTTCATGAAGTACGTTTTGTAGTAAATAATAAAAAAATGTAGTGAAATAATAAAAGACACTTTCTTAACTAAACTGACATTAACGACTTTTGAAGTGTAATACAATATAACTTGTATTTCCAAAATCCATATAAGCTTCCTTTATAGTCACATTTATATTTTCTGATTGGTGGCAAGGTTCATAAAATACACAAGTTACTCATGATTGAATTGTAATTAACCAGCACTCTTTTCATCCATATACTGTATGTACATAAGGGATTTTCTGCACTTCCTTTTATGTTTCAACATCAGTTGAGGTCAATTTGGATTTCAATTTTTAAGCTTTTATCATCACCAATGAATCATTGAACAAAGAAACAGTGGTATTATGTAATGTAATTGATGTTTGCATACACTAACACTGGATCTATTACCGAATGGTATAGGTGAAATTTAATGTGTGTGTCTAACTAACGTCCATCATTAAAGGGCGTGGGGGAAACAACGTTGCTGTATGCCTATTGGTAGGTATATTTGTACCTGTACTAAAAATGGAACTTAGTGAGTTCTATAGGTAGGGATATGTGAGTACCTGTACTAACAAGATGGGACTTGGTGAGCTCTATAGGCAGGAAGATGTGTACGTGTACTAACAAGATGGGACTTAGTGAGTTATATAGGTAGGGAGATGTGTACCTGTACTAACAAGATGGGACTCAAAGAGCTGTATAGGTAGGGAGATGTGTACCTGTACTAACAAGATGGGACTCCGTGACCTCTATAGGTAGTGATATGTGTACCTATACAAACAAGGTGGGACTTATTGAGCTCTATAGGTAGGGAGATGTGTACCTGCACTAACAAGATGGGCCTCAGTGAGCTCTATAGATTCGGATATGTGTACCTGTACTTACATATCTTTTGTCTTTTACCTGCATTCTTTACGAAGACATATTTTGTGGCGGCTTCCGATTTTTAGTATTTTTAAGAGTTCATGGATCTACTATTTTTACATTTTGGAAAAAACGAAATCTTCTAGAGATTGATTTACACACGGAAAAAGTTGATGTTTATCGAGGGATTCACTACGGTTTCTGATAGGCCAATTTCCTGTTAACTGACAACTCACAACATTTTGTTACTGAAAACTTGTCCATGACAGTCTTTATTTCATCAAAACACATGTAAAAGTTTAAATCTCATATTATTATAGAAGACCTATCAATACAATGAAAATGATTAAAATTGGTATGAATATCTATGTTAGGTGAATTTTGTAATTTCTTGGTTTATCTTCCAAGGGTTTCTTGATTCTTATTTTCAGGTGTCCTCTTTACATATCGTGCATCTATTAAAGTTGTGATTTTGTCCTTGTATGTCATCGCTCCGATACAATTGGGGACCATCGGCTCTTTCCGTAAACGAGAAACGGAAAATGCCGACGGTGCCCGATTGCGTTCCGATATATACTGTAGACCAGTATCTTTACGCCTCATCTTTACTTTCCACGATTTTGCTCTCAGTAATAAGCAGGAATTGTACATGGCATCGTACATTTTAATACTGGCTCACTGTTAACCGTACGTACATGTGGGATGTCTTATATGAATGGTAAGGACGAAATTAACCCCGGATGAAGATGGGATTTCCAGTGAAGGGGAAACAGTTATATCTGGGTTAAAATCTCCTGGTATGCAGTATATTTATTTTCTATCTTACTTTATATCTGGTGTATATTTTGAATACCAAACGTATCGGTATTATTGGCTATAAATAATATAAGTTCAATTATGTGCAATACCTATCGTGTTGTTACAACAAAATTATTAAATATGATTTTAATGATTCATAGATTTTCAATTTCCCTGTTTATGTAGAAAAAAGTACAGTTTGCTTAAAACGAAAACTGCTTCTGTTGTGTGTACGATGGCGAATTATTATAGGATGGTGCTGTAGTGTATCAAAACAAACCAATATCAGAATTGTTCACTTTTATTTAGTAAAAAAAAAGGAAGAGAAAGAGTTTAAAGAAATGCATTTATAATCAACTTTATGAGCAATGAAAAAAATATCCACACATAAATACAAGAATGGATAAAATTCAAAAAACATTAATTTCATATTTGAATGAAAATGACAAAAATTGTATATAGCATAATAAGTATTATGTATTTGTCGGGAAGGCGTTTGACAGCCAAAGACTTTTGTTTTTGGAGACAAAACACATTTTTGACAATAACAATATTTCTATAGAAAAATAAAATTCAGATTTATAAAAAAAATATAAAATAAACATTTTGAGGCTGCAATATATATATACATATGACAAACATAAGGGAAAACACAGGCTGAAGACGATAACTGTTCATGAAATTTGAGAATTAAACTCAATATAATGCCATTCGGTTTTAAAGCTAACTGGCTAACCATTCCCATTTCTTTCAGTTTTAGGATTCTAACTTTCCAATTTACTTGAAATAGCAGTGTTATCATAGACAATTTGCATTGTCATCTTTCTCGATTGTTTTTTTCTCTCGAATTTTAAGAAGTTATTTGAGACAAATTTAGTTCAAATATGGAATAAACTACATTTGAACAGAAATCCTAATACATATATTTGATTCATTTGATGGATATAATTAAACTAAATGTAAAAGTTTGAATATCTATTGAAGTTTGGTAACCAGGTATTGCATTAACTATTGTGTTGTAAGAATTGCCTGTGGAGATGTAAACATAGACTAAATTAGATCTACACTTTTGTCACAAAAAATGCTTAAAGAAGTACTCCTTTTAACATAATGTGTCGTTTTTGACAATAACAATGTCAGATGTTAAAAAGATTCTTCGAATTAAATGGAACTATCTTTTTATACGTTCAACATCAGTTGTGTTTTTACAACCCAGCAACGCATAGGTCTGCTGAATTTAACACGTGTCTTGATCGTTTGCTTGACTCCTCCCCTCAGTGCCTTTAAGATAAGTTTTCCCTTGGATCGATTCCTTCTTGGATGTTGTTTTTCTTGTACTTCCCCTTTTATAGGAATAACTGAAAATAAGAAGCAAATGTTGAACAATCATAATGATAAATGTAAAATTCCTATTTGACTCCTATGACCTTGGATAGACGTTAGAGATCGTGTTTAACACACGAACCGAGGGATAAAAATAACATTGCAATTCTTTACCAACGATTCATATTAAAATGAAGGGTAAAACGCGGTGTTTGTAAAAACAGAATACCATATAACTCATTTAATTTTCAAATCTACGGAATGAAAACATTGTACAATTTGCACTATTATTAATATTATTCTTAATCATTTATGCGTAAATGCATAGGGAAATACAGTCAACAGTTTCTTTTAAAAAAAAGCAGGAAATACGTACTCAAAGATCCTTCGAGGTTTCGATTTGTATTTCTGGAATAATCAACGAGAAGAGAAAGTCTGTACTTTTGATTGACGACCTCCCATTTAGGGTTCTCTCCCCCTCCGAATACAGAGTATGGTTGTGCTCGTTGGCGGACTTCGCCCTCCACCCGGAACCCTGGACTCATCCTGGTTGTGGTATCCGATGCATTGATACTTATACGAGTGATGCGTGTCCTCTGTCGTCTACCGGAACCGTGAAAGGTGTAGCCAACGCTGACAGAAAAAGCTGGAATAAAAGTCATCAAACGTTTACAATAGAAAAAGTTAATCTGTTAACTAATCTTCTTTGTAAAAAACAGAGTGAAATAAAGCTTCAACTCATCTTCATAATGTTTCCAGGGCGGATCGAGAGATTTCGAAGGCGCGGGGGAGGGGGGAGGGACTCATTTTATAGAGTAACTAAATGCTTCTTCACCTGTTTAAGATTTGTAGGTTGGCTTCAATTGTATGCTCATTTTTATATTTCGCGCTTTGCAGTCTGATTTATCTCATTTTTATTCCTTTTCTACTTTACAGAAGCTTTGGATAAGAGTTTTTTTTAAAGGAATTGAAGAATTTTTCATTTTGACGAGACTTTGGTCAGCAAAACAGAACAAAAAATACGCAAAAAAAACCGACATCGTGACGTGCTCTATCAGTCCACTGCGGCACGGAAACCAATTCTATTTTTAAATCACATGGCGAAGACTTTAAGAGATTCTCCCTGTCATTCTTAAATTAAAGGAAATAATACGCAATTTTCTTTCTTTGTACAAATATATATTTCTGTATCGAGTCTACATTGTGACGTCATGTTTTAACATAAATATCTCTGACGTCATTCAATGTCTTAACTGTAATAATTAATGATAATTCACACGCAAAGATATGCTAAGGTTGTTTTAATGAAAACTCGCTAATCGTCAATGTTTACAACTATGGTAAAATACCGGAATTTCGGTACATTCTGCCGTACGAGTGAATTACGGTTATGACTTACTCAACACAAAATAACCGTTTTCTGTAATTGTTTAGTAAGATTCGGAACCAATCATGATTTGTATTAACTGTGAATGTAAATGTAATCTAGTTTCCACTTATTCTGTCATTGCTTCATCGACTTTGAATGAATTGACAAATAACTCTTTGCGTGAAAAATATCAGTTTTAATAAATTGATATAGTTCAATATCTCACTTCATTAAATGGAATTACTTATTTGTATTTATGTTACGTTGAATAAAAATGGACAAACAATATTTAGTGTGGATAGTATGATTGTACAGATATTCATCTTTCGAAATAATATAATCGGACAAACACGCAAGAAAAAAAATTAAACTCTTACCGGTAGCTGGGTCCCTCGCTAAGTTGTACATGGTCGAATCATCTACAGATTGGATTCTCGGATTCCTGAAGCACAGGGGCAAGTCGACACCCTTGACAACAAGTAGAGTGTAATCTGGAAACGAATTCGAACTTTATTTCATTGATTGATATGATGATTTCAAATAACCAACATCTTTGTTCCACCTGTGATCAGGTTTCATTTTGTCTGGCATTTGCGTTGAATAATTATATAACATTTCTGCATTAATAAAACCAATTGTGTCCTGGTGCGAAAATTAGTATTTAAATTATCATTACACAGTTTCATGTTTCTTAGAAAGCTAACCAACTGCCTTGATGCTCTAAATTAATTATTTATATATAATATATGGAAATATATATATCCATATGAAAAGAAACAAAATCCAATGCATTGTTGTTTTTTTACTTTTCATATACCTACCTGACAATGCAGACATTATACATTTAGTTTGTATTTATCTAACCTGTCTTACGAAAGCAGTTTCGTCACTCGGCCCAGTATGGAGATTATCGGTGTACTCTAAATTTCTAAACCACTAGATCTTAAATTGAAGTTGAAAATAAATTTAAAATCAATTCAAAACAAATGACTGCCATTGCATTGAAATTAAATCAACAAATTTTCCGTATTTTCCGCGTCGTATTTACATGAATTACCCAAATTGAATGAAGTCTTTAAAGAAGAGGCATATAACATAAAATATTAAACTGTTGAAATATCATATGAACAGAACTTTCTATAATCTATATCCTTCTGTATTCTAATATATGGTCCAGCTGAAGTATCGGACTGGTATTGATTTAAGATCTCTGTCCAACTGCATTTTTCCTTTTGCTCATATACAGCATTCTTCCCTTTACTTCCACTTGGGGTATAGTAGCAGAGTTTGGCCAGGCCAGGTAAATTGTAGCTCAATCGGTGCGAGTGGGGATAAATCAATCTGAAGTCAGGTGCAATCAGTCAAAAGATCTAGCTCCGCTGAATTGTTTTCCACTCAGAACACTGTTGTTGACGATATTTTATTGAATTAATTTTCATTATTTTCATAAAATTCCCGTATATGATTTTTTCAGAAATGATTTATCAAAGTTATGTTCTTGCCGAAATAAAAGCAGTTTCCAAAACTTCTTTGTATTTTTAGCAGTGGTTCAGGGATCCTTAAGGTTTTGAATTATATGACAGTGTCCTTGCATGGAGTTTCCTATGGTAGACAGATTCAAAATGTCCGCACTCATACAGTGACTACTTTATGTCCAATGCAGGCTACTGGTACATGTACTCTACGGCACAGTAAAACCTTACCTGATGCTTTAGTTCTTGTTCGAAGCATCTTCATTAGTTGCCTGCTGTTCGGGATCTTGGTAGTAAACTCGGCTGTAGGTGTGCTGGTCTGGTGGATCGTGCCTGAGGTTGTACTGCGTTGTATTGTGCTCATGGTGGTTGGTTGGGGTGTGGGAGAAGTTTGTGAGATTGTGCCCATGGAAGTTGGTTGGGATGCTAGCATTGTAGTAGTTTGTGAGATTGTGCCCTCGGAAGTTGGTTGGGATGCTAGCATTGTAGTAGTTTGTGAGATTGCGCTCGTGGAAGTTAGTTGGTGTGTTAGTGGTGTAGTAGTTTGTTGGACTGTGTTCGTGTAAGATTGGTTGGGCATCATGGTTATCAGGTGAATTGGGGCCACCATTCTATTTTGGTTCTTTCGCAGTTTCGACCTTGCCATTGGTTCTAAAAGAGAGATATTGACATACCTACTTGTGGAAAGTCATTTGATAAGCTTACCGAAATAGCTTTAAAACTTAAGATATTGTATTATATTAAAGAGAAAAACTATATAAAACTGCGATATATTGTGTAATTGCGAACTTTATATTACTTTATGTGAACATAAATACAATTATTGTTTGGTTAATATGTACACTGATCCACATCACACCAGAAAAGTCTGCTAGATTTTTGCCAAAACATTAACAAGACATGATGGTGTTGTATTAGAGCATTAGTTCAAATTTTTGAAGCATTTACAAATATCCGAAAAACATTTTCCAAATCGAAAATAAAGTTTGATATTATAGACAGAATAGGTGAAACTAGATATAATATAATTGATGTTGTTTATAGATATTTTTTCTTTAATACAAGAAATAACCTTTATACTTGCAACATAAACTTATAAAACATAAAAGAAGAATTACAAAGTTTTTTTATTTGTTTTGTTAGATATAAATGTATTTACTTTAAAAGCAGTTATTATAGTTTGGATCGAATATATGGTGGATTCTGTCGGCAAAAAAACCGATACGTTTAAGGTTTATTTTTATGAGTGAACATATCACATAGCGTGACAATCATTAAAACAAATGGAAAAAAAAACAAAGCACGAAATTGAATCGAGAAAAATTACACCGAAGTCTTTTGAGTGTTGTTTGATAAGCTGGATTACAAGGTAGCTCTTATTAATGCTGTTATAACAACAATATAAACCTATCAGATTTTCACGGATTCGAATGTTTTTACTTTGTATTTTGTGATTTTTCTAGGTTTATCAGAAAAGCGAACTTAGGACTTCTACGAAAATATACGCCTTAAACAATAGGTTATCTATAAAAAATATTTGATATTTTTATTTTATCTTACAAAAAATCGTTACTTTAATGCGATTTATTATATCCTAGATGTCATTTCTCATTAACTTCAAAGGAGATGAATCCGTAACGTATTTAATGTCTTGTCTTATTTTTAATTATTTAAGTAATAACTTGAAAGTTACTTTCTGATATTTTAGTTACAATGTATAACCTCTTTATGTAAACAATGCCAATTATTCTGAGCAGTGTATAGTTCCCACATCCAGACAAATGTCGGTATCAACAATGAATAGTTTATAGTTCCCACATCCAGACAAATGTCGGTATCAACAATGAACAGTCTATAGTTCCCACATCCAAACAAATGTCGGTATCAACAATGAACAGAAAATCCTTTTTCTATAAGAGGTGCATGCAAACAAAAACATATGATGTAGAAAATATGACAAAGCGATATCATATTGATTCCAGTTTTCCAAACATTTTGAAATATTGTTGTAATTCCCATATATTTACTTACGTTTACGCCTTCTAGGGAGTGATTGAATGTCATAGGTCGCCATAGGAGCAGTATACATCCGGCTGGAGTGACGCATTATATGACCTCCTGAATGATAAACCCCTGCTTGGCTTTTTCCAACAAGCAACGCCGGCAATATACCACTTTGGCGGTGCTGAGGGACATCCACAGTCTCTTCAAGGCCTTAACAAAATTAAATAAATTCAAAAAAATGAAATGTTTTAATCTTGTTAGTTAAGGTTTAGTTCAGCTTATCTGTGGTTAAAAAAAGGTTTGACATTATGATTATAAAAAAATCTATCGGGTAAACATGTTAATCGTACTGGTGATATTAATCAATATAAACAAAATATAAACCGAATACCATCTGCTACATAATCATCAATTCCAAAGTGATAATAATACAATTATCGATAAGATTGAGCTATCGCCTTAACAAGTGCATTTAGTTTTTCAGAATATTTACATTTAACGCCTACAATACGATTGCAATTCAAAAAATCAAAATTAAATAGCTCATTCACCTTCCTTTGATTAATTATAAGTTCGTAGTGTAAAAGTATTCCACAAGGGGTGTTGGCTATCATACTTATATAATCGTTATTATCTATTTTTCAAATTTCAAAAAAGACACTCGGTTGATTAGACGAGTGAAATAAATATGGTGAGTCCCTCTCAGGGAAATATTGTATATAGTGTATTAGTTATAAGTAAAAGCGAAGATATTTCCTTATAGACCCAAAATCGTCGATGCACTTTCGCACGCTTTCCGATATGTAAACAAGTATATGTTTAACCAGAAGAGAAACTATCTCCCCGAAAATCAGTAGATATATATGACGTCACAATATAAATTAAACCTTTCATTAATGACTTCATGACTTTAATCTGTGTGAAGCAAAGTAAAAACATTTTACAAAGTATCAAAATTTTACAAAGTATAAACATTTTATAAAGTAAAAACATTTTACGAAGTATCAACATTTTACAAAACATAAACATTTTATAAAGTAAAAACATTTTACGAAGTATCAACATTTTACAAAGTAAAAACATTTTACAAAGTAAAAACATTTTACAAAGCATAAACATTTTACAAAGTATCAGCATTTTACAAAGGTATGGTTGATTGATACAAAAGCATTACTCACATATTTGAATAAAATATTTGTGTGTATTGTATTTGGTAGCTTTTCTTAACCCCGCAAACAAAGAATTATATCCTCAACGAAAACAATGTCAGCTTACCCATGTCGTCTCCCTCAATTTGTACTGGAGAAACTTGAAGCTCGTCCGGGAGAGTGACAACCATTGAGGTCAAGGGCGTAACAAAATTATACTGAAAAAATATCAAAATTTCAGATGTAGCCACAGTAAATCAGTAACAATGAAATTAATTAAATGATTCACGCATTATGTAAATATTACTTATAAAAATCCATTTGATAAATGGAATGAGAAGAACTAGATTCACATTGATGAAAAATATGTTCTACAATCACATATGCCACAAAAATACAGACGATAAACTGTATAACGTTAATTGACTGTTAACACATATGGTATTTGATGTAGAAATGGAGATACGTTGACAATTGAACAGTCGTCAAAGGTGCAGTTCTGAAAAACAGGTACTACACAGGTCGATGGGTGTTATGATATTATGTATGACTTGTTATGACGTCATGATTGAAAACTGTCTTCCTGTGATGCTAATATAATAATGATAAGCTTAAACAAATTTGTGTTTATCAGGAAACGTACACAAAAGTATAAAAGATGACCTATATTCTAACCGTTCCAATGCTCAAGCATGTATTCTGTGCTCGAAGCAGCTTCGGTTTGGTTACGTTAAGGATTGTTTAAGTTAAGGTTTATTTAGGTTAAGGAATATTGGTAAAGTCTGGGTAAAATATCACACTCTCCTTTGTTAACAGTTTTAGTATAGTAATTTTTACGATGAGTATATTTATTTCGGCAGGAAAACAGTTATTACAAAGGAAATGAAACCAAAGGTTTCAAAGAATCAATACATATCTGGGGAGAAAAGACTATTTGTGCATAAACATAATGAAGGAGCCCTTAGAACTAAACACGTCATTACCTTGAGGGCCATTGCAGTAACGTTTTCTTTCCAACTTTCTTGTTTATTTTCGTCAGTTGATGCTTCCATCTGTTTAATCCACTGTTTGATAGTGAGATAAGCCCATAGTTTCTCCGTGATGCCGAAAGCATCAGAGTCTTGTGTGATATTTAGTTGTGTGGTAAGCGCAGTATCGGGTACGTGTAGAGTTACCAATCCATTGGCACCAATACCTGTTATCATGGGCTGAAGTTCGTTCGTTTCCTCTTCTGAAATCCGTCCTGTAACGACAAGCTCTGACCCGAACATTAGAGTCGGTGTTAGGTCACATATTATTCTGATGGGTTCCCTTTCCACGGTGCCATCGAGGTAAGTAAATGTGACGTTTTGCAGAAGAACGGTAGAAACCTCGGAATAGAAATTTGATATCTGTAAGTCTGCATCTGAATCCTCGTAAATCTTTCTGCCAAAGCCATTGTTCTGTGATGCTAGTCGCTTTACCAAGCTGTAATCTGCGTTTTGTCCAAATGCCAAGGAAAACACTGGCACTCTGCCTTCATTACGCTCAAGAACCCTCGCTAATATTCTCGTCGGTGACGTTTCACCACTAGTTGGTTCCCCGTCGGTCAGAAAGATAATAACAGATGATCTGCCCCTATTAGAATGTGTCTCCACCAGCGAAATGCCAGTAAGCATTGCTTCCTGGATGTTGGTTCCTGTGAAATCAGCAAACATGACTTTGTTTATGTTTTAACAGAAAATTTATCAAACATTTGTTGGTCTTAAGTTTCACTGTTATGTGCTCTCTATAGATGTAAAGAGGTAGATAAGGATCGGTCGATGGTTACAACAACTTTGATGAATATGCTAATCAACCATCACAAATTAAGGATTTTTTCTACCAGCGGGTTTTTATTATGTTAGTAATTCAATACATTTTTCATGATTTGCAAAGTTTAGTGACTTATTTGTAAATCAATTGGAACCGCTTTCGTAAAGTATGCCGTGCTTATTACTTGGGTAAAGTAAGATACAAAATAACATGTCGTGGACGAAATACAAAGTTTCACAGCTAGCGATTGTTGCATATATATCCATGAAACGGAAAAAGGTTAATTTTCAAATTAAATTTGAAAATAATGTGTTTTGACATACATGATAAACAACAGTCACGATGTATGTAAACTTACCGCCACTTGCAGGCATGTCATTAACATAATGTTTTGCCGCATTGATATTGGCTTCAGATGCTGGAACAAGCTGCTGTTCATTTTTCCAATAAGTTATTCTACTGTCAAATGTTATGATGTTAAAGTTATCTGCAGGTTCGAGTTGTGACAGAATGGTGCGCATAGCCTTTCTGAGTTGTCGAATTTTTGTGCCAGACATAGATCCACTCTTGTCAAGTATGAATACGGCGTTCTTTGGTCTAGGTTCAAGACCAGTGGGAGCGAAAAAGTGCACAAAGTAGCCATTCACCAACAACAAAATATTAATTTGTCCAAAGTCAATATAGATGAATCATACGGTATCAGTATATAATATTCATAAATAATACATCATTTTACCTGTTCAATGAACATTTAAGATTTGTTACAATGAACATATGGTTGATATTTCTCTATAAAAACATTTCTTGTTTTCACACTTAACTGAACCAATCAGAGAAGAGGCTTTTTGTAACTGAAAAGCAGGCATTATTTATTGTGACGTCATGAACATTTTTATTATGCTGTCACAAGACAGCATATTTTGTCTTTTTATACTTTAGCGGGAGATGAACATTATGTTCTAGAAAACCATTTTTTTTAAAAATATAATTAAAACGTAATAAAATGAAGTCTTGTTTGCTGTATCAATAACAGTTATAGTTCACGCATGCTTTGAATATTATTCACTTTGCACTCATAAATGCTACTTAAACATTCACCTCACATGTTTTAAATAGAACTGCTTCGGACAGATATTTATCTATATGTATACATTCGGTTGTTATTTGGTCGAAGGATATGCGTTAACATAAACGTATTATATAAGTAATAACTTGTATTCTGTTAAGTATTTTGTGATAGTACGTTGTTTTGAGTGGCTATACTGGCGTTTAGAACATGCAAAGTGGTTTGAACTCGAGACCGATAGGTCGAGAGTTTAAACCAAATTCCATGTTCTAATCCCCAGTGTAGACACGCAAAACAACGTACAATCCCCATTCTAACACACCTAAACAAATATACTACACTAAACTGTTTAGAAACATTGTATTTCCTTTTTCAAAAGTACGTAGTTAAGTACTCTGTGGCCTGAATTGGCGATGTGCCATTCTGCAGCGGACTGATCAATTGGAAAGAAGCTTTCAAAAGTCGGTCATCTGGCCCCGCCCTTACTGGCGAGTGCTCGATCTGTATGTTGACGAGGCGGCATATTTGTGAATGTCTTGTTACCAAAGTTTATACGACACATTTGGATTAATATTGACCAAATTCTGACATTTCCATGTCAGTATGCATACCAATCTGTGCTTATCGACAAAATCGGTGATTATTTGTTTAGATTTGTGAAGAGTTTTGTGTAAATGCATACGACACATGTGAAATGTTTCATTTGATTTCGGATCTAACTAGATGCCTTCACACTGATTGAACGAACGTTTCGGTAATAAATGGAGGTAAGAACAATGAATGTTTACTTTTTATTTTTTAATGCTTTCATCAAATGCATTTCATCGGTCGTTTCTGTTCTGTTGCCTGCTAGCCTTATCAGCGGGATTTCGCTAAGAGGCGAGCGTGACGCCATATTGTTAAGGTTAGAAACGGGGCGTGACTTATGTGCGATTGATCATGATTCTATCGCAGATTAGAACATGGGCCGTATCCAATCAAAACACGCGTTGCCAACGAATCGTGTTAGAATGAAGTATTGATTCATGGTAACTGTTTATATCTGTGTTATAATTTATGATAAGTAATTGTTTATATTTCAGTTAAGATAAAGGGGCGGAATGCCTAGAAAATTTGACAAATTCCTGTGTCTGCATTGCAACTATACTTTGCTTATATATGAAATGATTACTTTTCCTTAGGTTATTGAAGCGCGAGCTATGTATATATGTATATGTTCCTTCGTTAGACTCAAAATTTAGACGTTTATTACACTTTTTTATTTAGCCTTAAACCTGATGTTTTTTACCAGCACGTAAGGAACACTCGTAAAATGACAGACACACTGGAAATGAATCTTATATAATAAACAACTTGTGCACTGTAATGGAAACGAGTATACAAACCATGATACGTCGTTCAAATTACCGTCTCGCATATATTAAACCTACACCAGACTTCTCAATAAGTACCATTAGAAAACAATATATTTGATTCAACTGATATACTACATACATGTATATTCTTGCAGAGTAACAGTATTGGATGTGAGAAATGAAGGTCGTTTGAAACTCACCAACATGTCACCACCGTCATTTTGTCTTGCTACGTCATACGTCACCCTAAACTGACCATCCAGTCCCTCCGAATCACCTTCGGCAATCTGCTGTTCCAAGGAGGGTTGATATCTGATGTGAACGCGCTTGTCTGATATGTGGTCAATTATGGCGACTTCATTTGTATCTTAAAAATATTTAAAATTGCTTGCATATCATTTTATAAACGTAAAACATGCATATAGTTTTATGATGTACTGTTTTCATAGACTGTTTGTAAACACTGTGCCGCTATAGAGTTCAGACATGTTGTGCCTACATATAACGTCTATCAAACAAAGTGTCGACATGGAGTGTTTATAAGCACCGTGTCTAAATGGATATTGATCTGATAAACGCAATGCCTACATAATGTGTATTCCGTCTTTGCGTATTGCAGAGTTATCTTATCTTGGGAGCAGGTATTGATTGTTACGGCACTTGTTTGTGAGAGTAACGTCATCAATTTTTGAGAAAACGACGTAATTTTCTCGCACAAACCAATGACGTAACAATCAATACCTACTCCCAAGGGAAGATACCTCTGCAATACGCAAAGACGGAATAAGCGTTGTGCTTGCATAGTATTAATAAACGTTATGTCCACATATAGTTTATATTAAACATATGGCCAACATTGGGTGATTGTATAAGTTATTCCTAAATATTTACATTTGCACTGCATAGGGCCTAGATAACTCTACTGGTCCCATTGTCACATATTTTCCAATGAACTACAACGGGGATTAGATCAGTGTAGTAATACACTGACCTAATTACCGCCAAGTGGCGATGTTCCGCTGTGTTGTTTCTTAAAATGTTATTGTATGACAGTTAAATCGCTAAATGACCACAACATATATTAAAATGGTCACATGTTAGTATACAAATTGGTAATTGACATATATGCATTTAAATAAAAAAAAATAATCTATTATTAAATTGATGTGTTTACTGTGGAACTTTCTTTTTTCTTTTTGGCCTGGTTGCCCTTGACAACGACTGTGGAATGCGAAACCACCCGGCTATTCCGAACAATTTACCGCTGACCCAGTCGGTTTGTATAAGAGTTTTAAAACAGCAATTAACAATACTCGCAACATTGCACAACTAATATTGTTGGTTTGGAATATAAATATAAGGATTGGTTGTCATATTGTTGACGTTTATTGGCGTGTAAACTACATCGGCTTGTGATATATTTAACATGGTGCGCTAACGCGCACCATTCAATATATCGCAAGCCCGATGTAGTTTACACGCCAATAAACAGCAAAAATATGACAACCAATCCTTAAATAGATTGATAGAATTTGTGCCTAATTGTGCTTATACACGAACACAGTGTTTACTAATATGATGCATGCATATTAATTTTATAAACCTACGTCCTAACTATCAAACGCAGTTTTGCTAATAAGCTGACTAGTATAGAAATAACTGATACTACCTCTTAAAGCGTACTAAATATTTTTAGCTAAAGATCGAACTTTAACAGATTAAGGCAAGGATAAATTGAAACACTTACTTAAAGTTTCAATATGCGCAGTAATAATTTAGCGCAACTTCTAAAGCACAAAATACTCTTAAATAATATCACTGCTAAAACATGAAAATATTAACGTATACAGGAAACATTTATTACCTGCAGGAAAAAGGAAGGGTATCTGAATTTAATATGAAAGTTTTACTTTCTACACAAATAATGTACGTATTAAACTTGTCGCAACGTTTCAAGTAATGAGGCATTACAATGCTATCATGGGATGTATAACACATCTTATAAAAGTGTAACAGGGATATAATTAATGTATTTGCTTGTATGTATGTTTGTTTACTAAGTCCGTCCGTAGCGCGTCGACTGTCCATGTATATATTTCATACTCCGAGTAATGTAACTATCGCGTCCGCGTGTTGTATTCTATACTGTGATGTTATGTCTATAGGTGTATTGTGGTATTCTGCTCGTTACGTATGTTGATATGTTGGTATACCATACAGTTGTTCATTGGTCAGTAGTGTTACGTCAAGTTGTGTATGCGTTTTCATTGGTTCGTTCTGGGTGGTCAGTTTTGGCGCGTGTTTCTTTGTGGGCAAATAAATCACGCTAGTACCTTTTGAGGACTCGTAGTTGACGGACGGAGAGATGTAATGTAAGTGTTTCTTTGTCTTTGTGTAATACCCAACGTATATGTATTATGTGTTTTATTTGAGATATAATTCTATTTGGATCTAATCTAAGTATAGATGATTTGTTATTCCTTTAATAAGAAATCAGATATGATTAATGTATTTTTTTATATGAAAACGTAATAATGGAGGTGATGTAATTTGATTTTTTG